ATGGTTGGCAATCAGTAAAATATATTAATTTATTCTACTTTTGGTATGCCCCATGTGGAGGTATGCGTAATCACACCATGTGCACCCAAAGATTAATATATTCTGTATGAAATGTTTGTGACTGTAGTTGCTGCTCTGATTGTGTATTGTGTGAATTTGAAGCACATTCTTATATTGGGTGACTAATGGGCTTTAGTAACACCGCATAGAAATTGGTATTCTAAAAGAGTCGAATTTTAAATTGTATTCTTCCCTGACTTTGCAGGGGATTTCATGGCTCATCTACCTCACAGTAGGTTTGTGGTTGATGGATTGAAATCTTTCTGCTGAATAGTAAACATCAGAGATCATTGAGTCTGCCTGTAGCTTGCAAGCCTCAATTTTCTTATCACTCATTCAAAATTTTTTTAAAAAGAAGCGCCATCTATCCCAAAGCCTTGATAACTGTTAATTCACGCCTTTGGTTTTGAAGTTCTTGGGGTTTCACTAAGTCACTAGGTTGCCCAGGCTGGTTTTCAGCTTGCAATCCTCCTACCACAACCTCCCAGAGTGGTGGGATTATAAGCTTGTGTCATTCCCTGCTTACTGATAATTCACTCTTATCTGTTACAAGGGACAAATATTCAGCATTTCAGAACATACATAGGGATCCTAGAACTGTGACTTACAGTTTTTGCATTGTGATTTTGAAATAAAGGTGTCCTTTACCGCCTTCTTCCTTTGCTTGTCTAGGTAGACCCCCTGCCATTGTAAATCCCAAACCCCTTTCCATTGTTGGATGAGTTCAGAAGTCACAGAAAACATATATTTTCTTTCACTTTTATAAAAAGATCTCCAATTTTGTTAACTATAGTGTGAAGGCCAATTTGTGGAGCACTTTTAGCAGACATAAAATGCTTTCAGTGGTTGCTCTAGTCCTTTAACATGAAGCTGTTTACCTGCAATTCCTTTGTATACAATTTTACACAGGGTAAAATTTTATACAAAAGAATGTTTAAAACTAGAACATGATGGCACTTTTCTTTTGTTAAGCCAAGTTTAAGCCTAGATTGTTCACCACTCCTCATACTTTTACATTCAGGAGATGTAATATTTTTGACATTTCCCTAAAGAAAGAAATATAATGTGCAAGTGATGCATAGCTTCCTCAATTGTGGGCACCTGTAGCAACAACCCTATGAGTGTGTGCCTATCTGCACTTCCTGAAATGTGGCCATTGGGCCAGCAGCATCAGCATCACCTATAGGATTATTAGAGATGCAGATTCCCAGAGCTGCCCCAACTTCAGTGGACCAAGAATGGTGGTGGGAGGGGCTCAGATTCTCTGTATAGCTCACCAGGCCTTCGGGGGGATGCTAATAGAGACTACACTTTGAAAGCCACTGATCATGGAAGGTATTATCATCATCACTTAATAGATGGTACAGTTGATGCTCTCTATTCATTTCAGGGTCCTTATTTATACTCAGATTTTATGTTTCGATATCATGTGACCTCCCTCTGTTAATGAAAGGAGCAAAAGAGTTGCGAATTCTACAAAACAGGAAACAATACTCTTCAGTGAACTGCAAAAGGGATCACTTCACTGAGTTAGCATAATGACAGTGGGTTGTTAAAACTATTAACACAAGAAAATTAACCTAGAAAAAGCTTTAATGACCCAAGTAACATTTGTGTGGGTCTGTGCATTGAGTTTCTCATTTTCTTCCTAGTGGAGGAGGAAAAAAGATGCACTTAAACCCCAGAGGGGCAACTCTTCCATGTTAATAGAAGTGTGAGACACGATTTTAATCATCACTTTCTAGCCAAATGAATCCACGAACAGCTTTTCCACCGGGGTCTAACCCATGCCACATTACCCATACTGATGGTGCCTGCGGTGGTTTTCCTGCACGCACAATTTTACACGCGGGGGAATGAGGTTTCTAAGTTCTGTGGTATCAGAATGAATCCATAGGGAAGCTGGCTTTAACCACCCCTCTGTGGTTTAGGGAAGGAACATTTCCTCCAGAGCTGAAAGTAGAAAACAGTGTTCATTATCTCCTTACATAGATTTTTATTTTGCAGATAATGAACACTGTAAGTTCTTTTATAATCAAATAAGTAACATTTTAGAGTATTGTCTGTTCAACTGGGAGGAATTTCTTTGAATAGAAAATGTTGTATCATGTGTGTAGTACTTTATCCTACATATATGTAAATCATCATATAATATATATATAAAAGTAAATCAAACATGAATATTACTGCTTTATAACACTCATAGGGAGGATGCTTGTGAGGAGCACGAGTTGTCACTCCTCTCCAGATATCCCTGCCGCACATCCCAGTGCCTTGTGGTTTTTTGTACACAACTCTGGCCCTTGTGCATTTGCACTTGCTTCTCTTCTCTCCAAAATCATCTCTCCCCTCCACACACACGAATTTATCAGGTTGGCAAACACCTCCTCATCCTTGTGGGTTGGATAAAAAGATGTCCTATCCTCTGTAGTTCATGTTTATAGGCACTATGAAGTGTCTCCTTTACAGAGTTATCATTGGCTTGTTTTTGAGTCCTTCAAGATGGATAACTTGTTTGCATTAGTAGTGTCATTTCAGTACTAGCTATACTTGATCCATTGTCAGCATGCAGCAAATAATGCTATAATGCATTAATAGATGGCGTTTCCACTTAGGTGACCTTCTCAGACTAGTATCTCCAAAATGTATTATCATTTTGCCCATGCTTTTGAGTCCTTTCGAGAAAAATAGAAAGCCCTTATATTTCTTCCTTTTCCTCTGTCCCTTTCTACCTCCACACCCACCAGCCTGCCTACCTACCTTCATTTTGTGTCCTGTCTGTCAGTCTCTCCCTGGTTCCAATCTTGTGGTTTGTCTTGGTTTACTTCCTGTTTCTTCTCCCCTGCAAATGGTTTGATTGTTGTTGTTGTGCAGATAAAGAAACTTGGGGCAGATGCTCAACTTTCTCACCTGGAGTTTTTCTACTTCTTCTCCAGGGAAAGCGCTATGATCCACTGACCTATGAGAAGCAATGAGTCCCCAGTTGGTGCTGCTGTTTTTTAACACTCATTGAGTACTTTCATTATGGTGGTTGGGTGGCCATAGAGGAAGTTTAATACTACAGTTTTGTCCTGAAGGGCATTATCTGGTTGCCACCTGTCATGTGACATAACTTGGGGTTGGGGAGAATTTCCAAAGGGCCATATACAGCATAGGGTGGTTCCAGAGATTCTCTAAAATATGGATAAGGAAACGTACAATATGAAGCAGAGTAAGAGAAAAGGGCCAGTTTCCTGTCTGCCTCCATCCCTCAGAGAGAAGTTTTGTTGGACTAGTTATGCAGAAAGCTCCATGGGAGGGATTTTACCCACATCACACCCTTATTGTTCTGAGAGTTTAGGACAATAATTAGATAATTTTGCACCGTACATTTGAAGTTGGCAGGAACTGTTTGAAAAAGCTGCCTGGGAATATCAGTAGCTGGTACTCAGGGCTCTCAGAGTCTGTGGGAAGTTGTAGGCACTCTGTCCAGGGGTCTTTGGCAGCTGAATTATAATTGATTGTCTGTCCTGAGGGAAACAACTAGATATCTGCACCCACCTGGCTCATTCTTGAGGAAACACATGTTGCACAGCCGCTGTCCAGTATCATTCAGCTGGTTATGCTTCAGTTCTGATTGGCTGGGGAAAAAGCCCTTTGTATAAGTTAATAACACTTTGTCACAAACCTCACGGCTCAGGTCCTGAGGCAGACTTTAGAGTTTCTCACCCTCTCTCTTCATCACCCTGACTCTCTTCACACCACCTAACTTCCACTCAGATGGAATACTGAATGTGCCCACATGAATCCCTTCCCACATTGTCACTGTGCCTACAGTTTTGCTATTCTTTATTCTTGGATGCCTCTCAGTCCTTCTCCCTACCCCCTTTCCCTGCAACATTCTCTGTCTTCAAGTGTCTATGGTTTATCCCAAACCTCTGGTGTATTCCTTTTTCTTTTTTCTTTTCTTTTTTTTTTTTTTGTTTTTTTGGTTTTTTTTTGTTTTTTTGTTTTTTGACAAAGGGTTTCACTATGCAGTTCAAGCTCGCCTTGAACTCACTCTGTAGCACAGGCTGGTCTCGAACTTGCAGCAATCCTCCTCTCAGTCTGGCCTATTCTTGCCTAGATCTCTTGCTTGCATTGTACCAGTCACTAGCATTGAGCCCTTTGTCTTCCTCTCCACCTCTCTTCTCCAAGTTTAGTGACTCTTCCACGAACTTTCCTTGGAGCTCTTGTGGGGAAAACTGTATTTTCTCTGCTGACTTCCCATACCAGTTAACTTTAGATTTGGCATTGATATATCTGCTCTTATCCTGCATGCATATATTTCTTTACTGTACGACCTAAAGGCAAGGCAGAGCAGCAGTCATATCTTATCTGCCTTATACCCTAGAGTAACGCCCATCTTGTAAGTGTTCTATAATGGGTACTAAATAAATGTGAAGATTAAGAATCAGGTTTGGGTGCAAGCGGCTGGAGGTGAGGAGGGTAGGTCCGTATCTTTGCTCTGAGCCAAGAAGCCAGGTGTGCATGTGAGCATCTGTTTCCATCTACCTCCCTCAGCCTCCATCCCCACCGACATCCCCTCAGTTTCCCTCACCCCTGTCCGTATCCTGTGACTTCCAGGATTATATTTCAGCTGTGAAACAAGAAGGCCTGGTGCCTCGTGATTTAGGAATGGCTTGGAAGATCAACCAGGGACTCACACATGTGCTTCATTCTTTCAAAATGTATTAGACTATATATTGAATTGAACAGTTAGCAGTTGGCAATCTTTATTTCCATCCCAATTCAACTGAGAAGTGATAAAAAAAAAAAAGGGAAAAAATATCCCAACTGCAGAGAAATCTGCAGGCAAGTCTCAAGACAATATTATTTTTTTTAAAAGTGATGTCAATGACATAAAACACAGAAAGAAGATCCGTATCGCTGCTTAACAATTTCCCATTTTTGCCTTCCAGGAGACGGAGCTGTTAGATCTCAGCCTTGTCAAGGATGCCAGGTGTGGGAAGCATGCCAAGGCTCCCAAGGTAGGAAGCAGAGCGGTGTGCACATACCAGCTGCTGCCTTGATTATTTATCTGTGTCATGATATCAATTAATCGCCCCAATTAAAAGTTCTTCTGTTGTAGATGTTGTAAAACACAGAAGCCAGGATGCCCTAATCACTTTCACTTTTATGAAAAGATGGAATCTGTGAATGAACATATGGACAGTGGACACAGGGGTTTATGTTAAGCCCTCTAATTTTTTTTTTTTTTTTGCTTGAGAAAAAAAAATAACATTGCTGAAGTAACAGGTTAAGCATCCCTAATTGGAAAACTTAACATCCAAAATACTGTAACATTAGAAACTTTTTGAGCCTCAACTGGACACCACAAGTGAAAAACTCTGGACCCAATCGCGTGTGATGGGCCGCAATTAAAATATAGGTGCAGTAAAAATATTGTACAAAATTCTTTTCAAGCTATGGGAATAAGATGAATTTCATACATGAAACATAAATGAATTTTGTATTTAGACTTTGGTACTATCCCCAAGGTAACTAATTATGTAACTGCACATACTCCAAAATTGAAGAAATCCAAAATTGGAAACTGTTCTTATCCCAAGCATTTTGGAAAAATGGTACTTAACCAGTATTGGTTAATTTTACATGGTTAAGATGGAAAATATCTTTCAGCTTCATAAGTATAGGTGAACTAACCTTTAGATAGGATGAATGAAGTTTCTCCATAGCTCAATTGCTATACAATTAAAATAATTCTACCCATGAAGCCAAATCATATAGTCTCATTGTGAAAATGTTACTAGTGAAGACCAGCAGACTTTCAGATCAGCTGAGTGAGATATTGTTTATTCTGGTTTGAAAAACTTGCTAAAGAAATATTCAAAGAAAGGTTTGCAGTTTATGTATTTTTTTGAACATTGAAATGTTGGATGAAGACAATATATACTTTTTATCCTGACAGGGGCTACTAGCAGATGTGTTGACTTGCTGTCACGGTTGAAAAGTATTCTTTATCAAATTTCAATTTTAGTTCTTTAAATGCTTCATTGCTAGTAGAGTGTATATTAGCAAAAAGATAAGCACAGCTGCCATTTAAGAGCACGGTGCCTCATTCCATAGTTGATATGAAACTAGCGATTTTCTTTTTGAGTGCCTTCCCACAACTTTGTGTTATCCCTTAAAAGTCAAAATAGTTTCTCTGACATCCAAAATGATCTGTTGCTTTGGAGATACAAGAAAAAAAAATTACCTGGGATGATTATTCTGCAGGGGTGGAACATGGAAGCACCCATGTGCTGGCCAGTTCTGTCATAGGGTAGACACACTGACGCCAGAGTGGGGCTGAAAGGGTCAGAATAATGTATGGTAAGATGCAAACACTAAAACCTTTCAGAAAGAGAAGTCCAACCTGTTTCGAGAAGGTTTCCAAAAGTGTTCCACTGAAACTGCCCCATTACTTTTCATGTCCTAGTGATAGGGAATTTCAATGGTGTATTCTTTCAGTTTATAATTAATGCTTTTTGTTATTCAGAATTGTTCACAGTTTTTAGGGTAGGGAAGACTCTTTTTTTCTCTTCTCTCAACAGCATTTCAACCAAATTTCACATAAGCTTGTTAGTTCCTAGGACCACAAGACATCAATAACTTAGCTATGACATTTGTCTTTTAATGCAAGTTGATTAGCCTAACTTAAAATTTTGCTATCAGTATTGGGTAAAGACAGTTGTCTACACCACACCAGACCCTGCTGTGTCTCTGGCATCAGTAGTCAAAGTCAATTTTCCTGCCACAGGGAGAGTTTCAGGCTGGAATCTGTCTCTTTTACTGCAGTACACAGCTAGCTTATCAGTTAAGTGTTCCGTTTATGGATGTGGTTTGATAAATGGCTATTGAATGTTGGTAAATGAACAGAGTAACATCTGTGCTCTGCTCAGCTGATAAACCACTATTAGATCTTAAAATGCTACTCTTGAGGACAGACTTTTCACAGGCAGAGTACTTCGGTTTTGTTGTTTCCTTTAACACTTTCTTTGGGGTGCCAGTTGCTTTCTCTGGGCTTTCTTTTTTTTTTTTTTTTTTTTCGTTTTTCTCCGGTACCAGGAACCGAACTCACGACCTTGCGCTTGCCAGGCAGGCGCTTTTGCCACTGAGCTAAATCCCCAGCCCCAGCTAAATCCCCAGCCCCTCTCTGGGCTTTCTTTTTCTCTTTTTCCTTGCTGGTGTGGAAAGGCCTCCTCAATGTAATATTTTTAAAGCCTGGTCCCGTGGAAGGTTTCCTGTGTGGCTTCCTGAGCTTCAGACTGCTTCCACATAGGCTTCTTGATGATAATAAGTACTTCATAGGGTTGCTATAAGGAGTAAAGGAAATAATTCATTTGCAAAGCTTTCCCACAGGAGTCTTCAACTTTACCAGCTCATGGAACCTGGGAAACTTAAATTGCCTGTTTCCTTTCTCCAAAGATTCTGGTGCTACATGAATTTAGCTAATACAGATGTGGTGTGGACATCAGAGTTTTGAAAGGCAAATTTGCAGCAAAATTGGAGCACCATTACTTTAACTTATGCTGGTATTTAATAAACATTCACTAGATATTAGCTGCTATGTTGTTATCTTTTTTGCAATGCTGAGGATTGAACCCAGGGTATCCAGCATGGCAGGCCAGTGTTCTGCCACTGAACTGTCCCCCTAGCCTCTCATTCTTTCTTTCTTATTATTTAAAATTTCAAATCAGATTTGCAGGAGTCCATTTTCATTTCATTCACTTAAATTAGAAAGTCTTTAAGTTGACAAGGAAAGTCTCAGCTTAAAATGGATAAATAAAAGCATAATTTATAGGAAATATTTGGAATGTTTTGCAAATTTCAATGCACATGCTGGGTTGAGGCAAAGTCCCATTAAGGAGTTCAGTTAGTGTCGCCATTGCTGGGCATCTGTTTCTCTCCTGAGTCTTGGCTTTGATGTTTTGGAGAGGGGTCCCTTTTCATTCCTCAGACTCTGTGGGCTACAGGAGGGCCTAACTGTCCACTGGCATCTTGCAGCATGATTACAGCAGAATGCTTTGCTGAGGAAAGCCCTATGGCACAGGGGGACAGCCAGACAGGACACCATTAAGATGTCTGGAACTGGCCACGAATATAGCTCAATGGCACAGCACCTGCCTGGCAAGCTTGAGGTCCTGAGTTCAATTCCCAGCACAAAACAGAAAATGCCTGAAACAAAAGCAGCAGAACTTCGAGTAGAAGATTAGAAACATGAAGATGTCGATGCAGACTGTGGGAAGCTGAGAAATGCAGGACTAACAGGCAGCTTAATAGGAGGACAGATTAGCGTATGACATCCTGTAAAGCTTCTAGTTCACGAAGGCAGAAAGATCACTTGTAGAGCAGACATCTATCAGAATACCCAGGCATCCTGTAAATATTTATCTCTGTACCCATATTATTTTTGCTTTTCACAGCATCTCATTCCAGTAAAACTCAACATCTAGTGGAAAATGAACTGTTTTCTCTGCCTGCTGTGATTTGAAATAATGTTTAAAGAAATGGGAGAAGCTTGCCTGCACTGCCCTGTTAATGAATTTAAATGTTGAGTCCCAACACAGGACATACAACTCCAGATCTGTTTTTCTCTCTTATTGCCTTTGTTCAAGCAACCAATTTTGAAATTTCGAATTGGAAAAGCATTGGGATTCTTTTATACAAATGTAAAAACCAGAAGAAAGAAATCTTATCCTTTACAGTCTAAATCATATTTATTTTTCCCTTTCTTGCATCTTTCATAGGGTTATGAAGTGTGTGTAAGGGCAAAGTGCTGGGGTACATGCATTTTGTCGGTGCTGTAAAGGGTACAGCAAGGGCAGTCCCTGGATTGTCCCTTCAAGTGTTTTTTTAACCTTAAAAAGTGTTTGTTACTCAGATTTACCAATAGTTTCTGATCCAGAAGATCAGTTGAGTGGCTCCCACACAACGCTAATGAAATGAAATAGGATGGACTAGATTTAAAAGTATCAGTCTTTGGCACACCAAGTTGTTGTGTGAAACTTTTTTCATGTACACAACTATATGTTCTGAGTTAACACACCAAGTATGTTTTTCACTATGGGCCATATGAGAAAAGTTTCAAAGGTGCTATTAAAAATGGTAACATGGTCATCCTCTGGATTCGTGGCATGCACTGAGACCTAGGTCTGTTCAAAAGTCGATGAAGTAAGAAAGTAGAGATACAGATTTGGGTGTCAACCTTGCCTTCAGTGTCCTTAATTGTGGCTTCTGCGTGGGCCTCTCTTACCTCCTCTGTGAAATGGGAGTGAGAGGTACATGGTTTTACTTGTGTATTCTCTTATCCCTGGATTCTGAATTTTAAATCTAAAAGTTAATCAAGCCGCAACTCTCCAGTTCTAAAATGGTTGTGCAACAAATTGATAAAACCTAAAGCTTCCTATGATCATGTCAAGCCAGGTGAACATACAGAAGTCACATTCTAGCCAAGGTAAAATGGTATGCAAACAGAAAGGAGGAATGACTTATGTCAAAGCAAACTTTACGCATGACTTCTTCAAAATGGTTCTCCACTGGACTTCATAAGTAGCAACTTCATGGTGCAGAAGTTCTCCCAACTTTATTACATGAAAGCTATGTGCTGCTGGCATTTGGCCTTCAGTGATACACATGGTAATATCCTTGGAAAATATTTTTCAGTTTTACTTTCAAACTGTTTCATGCCTACAAAGAAAACTGCTTCATATGCTTATCAGACTACTAGTTCCTTTTAACTGGTAATGGACGGTTTATTTCATACATGCAGTGTTAATTTCAATATGGATTCTTTATAAACATCTAGGTCACAATTAAATTCTAAATGGTGTTTAGCATCACAAGAACCCCACAAGACACATTAGAGTAAAATTAATTTTTAAAAATTGATTAGGGTTTGCTTTCTTAATCTCTATAGAAAGTGGTGGCTTTTTTTATTTCATTCTTTATTGATTTGACAAGTGGTCATCGGGTGATGAATTATGCA